GCTAATGAAGATCTTCGAGAACCGCACGCACCAGCTGAAGCAGGCGGCTCCATCAATTGCTAAGAACCAGAGGCTGTGTGATTCTATGGAGACTCTGGAGAAGATGCTGGCTGAAGCGCACGCCAACTGGGAGAAGTTGCAAGCAGAAAAGACGCGACTAGAGGCGGAGAACTGGGAGTTAACAAATTAGCTAGGCGATGGTGTAGACTGGGAGAAAAATAAGGCCTTAGGCCCCATGGTGTATTGCTTTCATATCCTCAATTCGCTCATGCTAGTAGTAATCTTTCATTGGTGTAAAGCTTGATGAAGCGAAGAAGCAAGCGGAGACCGAAGCACGCCTGGCGCGTGATGCCAAGGTGGAGGCAGAGACCCAAGCTCTGCTAGCACATGAAGCCAAAGTGCTAGTAGAGAAAGAAAGAGATGAAGCTTTGACGGTGAAAGAACAACTCACCGAAGAACTAAACCGTAAGTTATTCCTTATGTCAATACCCCTCTTGCTATGAGAAACATGTTTAAGACGATTGCCCTTCTTGTCTATAGTGATCTGAACCAATAGCTAGGCGTAGTTTCACAACTTTGAGCTTCGGCTAGAGGCTAGTAAAGAAAAGTTGAAGACCATCTCCTATGGGATAAAACCCGTGCTGGATCTCATCGACCAAGAAGTGCCGGAGCTGCGGCTAGACATCATCGTGGAGAGGTGCAAGTCGGCGCTAGAGAACTTGGAGCACTATGCTCGTGGTGTCGGTTGTTCTGCTATGGGCCACGCACTGGTGGTTGTCCGATCAGTCTACCCCTTGGTGAAGCTCAAATGAATCGACGATGGCTTTACCTGAAGTCTGAGCAACGAGCAAATCACCGTGCTGGAGAAGGTTGTAACACCATAGGTGTTAAGCATGCATTTAGTATTGGCATTGCATGAGCACAAGCATCATTGATCATTCATGAGCATGAGCATCTCAAAATTTATCTCTATGATTGCTTATATCACATGTGTTTGTTATAAAATGCTTTACATAGGCTAGGATTTACATGTGACCCATGTATAAAATGTTTGTGGGACCTTAGGAATACAATTAACATGTTTAGTATGTCATATGGAACAACTTTGGTATTCATGACTTGGACCAATTTGGCCTCTAAGTCATGGTTATAGTGTAAGTTATCATTTTCAAGTTGCATGTTTGACCTAAGTTGAACTATACTCTAGAGACTTTGCATTGTAGTGCACCCTTAAGCAAAGTTGTAGTACTTGATTAGATCAACAACTTTTATTTTTGGGTCGAGGTCTAATTCAGTGCTTAACATGGTACAATCGTGCTCACAAAAATTAATGCAGTGCTGTTTTGAAGACTTAAAATTTTCTATCTAAACTGCGTTTACAGTTTCAAGTACCCTCGTTTGGCGTGTTATAGTTTGAAATCCATGGCGATCTAGGCTAAGTTGGTATTGGCAATGTTGTAGATCTCGTGTAGCTCTACAATTCTTGTTAATGAAGTTTTCACAATTAACGAACGGTTTAGGATTATTGGTTGCTTGAAATCGCGCCGTCAGTCACCTGCATCTGCTCGTTTTAGGGTTTTAGCTCATCGTGGGTGGTCGACAGAGCATAGAGCATGATCGCCGCATGGCCGCCGTAGGTCGACGTCGGGCCACCGTTGTGGCAGGGTGGCGTGTGATAACTGTGACGCCGCACTGCTCATTTCCCTCTCTCATTTGCACTCTCTCCCTCTCTGCTGCTCCATCTCGCGTGGGCAATTGAGGCACTGAGCCACCGACACCATTGCCGGCCACTCAGCACCTCACCGCGCTCGCACCGCTTTCTTGCCACAGCCACAGCCGCAGCTCCGCTGTGTTCTCACCACCTCGCCGAACCCCTTCGTGTAGCTAGCAGAGCACAGTAAGGCCCCTGTGCTGTTGTAATACCCTCAGTGTTACACTGTACAATCTTTTGCTAAAACACTGCATAACATCATATTTATGTGTAAATGTATATAATATAGGGTGTAAATCCATGTACGTAACTTAAAACGACCAACGGAAATGCTTAACGAAAGGTCGTTTGTGACGTATAAAATTATCTAGTACGGATGTTCGTGAATTTTTATTGAACGAAAACACTATAAAATGTATATATGGAACTTTAGTAGAGTTGGAAGTATGAACTTTGTAGATGGCGATGAAATACCTACTGTCGAGAAAGGAATTCATTGCTAGCATACCTAATAGCTTGGAAATCGAATTTGACGCGAATCCGATCAAGACTTAGTCGATTTTGTAAGTTTGAAAAGTGGTTTGACAAGGCCAAGTTTGGCAAATTTTGTAGGAGACTTGGATTAATTAGTGGTATAGTTTCATGGCAAGTTTTGATAGCCTAATATACCCTCTTAAGAATTGCATAGGTGGTTTGTCGATTAGATCAATATATTAAGTTTATTTGGACGCTTTAAAAAGCGTGCATGGCACATTGCCGATCGGTTTCAGCGACTGGGCGAGGTCACAATGCTTCGGCTCTCGGCGTCGCCGCGCCAGCACGCACACCGCCGCGCAGGCCCCGCTGCTGCGCCCAAGCACGTGACTCACGCATGCAACCACTCACGCGCACCGCCACGCTCGGCGGGACACTAGGGCCGGTGGGCCTGACCACTCTACTCCACCGCTGGCATCGCAGGCCTCATGCCCTGGTCGGTCCGCTGCCGCCTGCCTTGCTGTGTCATCGCGTTGCTGCTAGCCGCGGTCACGAGTGCTGGGTCGCCCGCGTGCCCCCGCACCGCTTGCATCGCGTCTGCCTACGTCGCTGCGCCGCTGTCCCATCACCATGCTGCCCCACACTGTTACTGCCACGCCATAGCGTTGTGTCGCGTCCGCCTACGTCTCTACATCGCTGCCGTCTCGATTTAGTGCATGTGGCCTTGCCGTGGCCACCACTTGTCGTTCTCCATTAATGGCGCCACGGATGCGCTGTTGCGCTGCCACCGCCCGCACATGGGTATGCCCCCTCTCCTGGCTGCGCTGGCTCACAATGATTGCTCAGGTGCAGTCGTCACGTCCCGCCAAGGCTCGGGCAAGCAGCCGGACCCCATTCCCTTCTTTTCCCCTCCCTCCTCTGCTGCTGGGCCAGCCTGGCCGCGCCTTCAATCCAGCACGGTGAGGTCATGTCTATTCAATTCAGTGCGTGTCCGACTCCGTCTTCAAGTCTTCTGGCCAACTAACCCCGCACCGTGTCCAATCGTGCTTAGGCAAGCTCCAATTTGGAGCTGGCGCCCGCCGTCGCGCCATTAAAGGCTTAGACGCCATTACCGTGGGCATTACCCGCCTGGTCCTTCCGAGTCCAATTGGTTGCACCCCCAGCCTCACCTCACAGTCCTCCACCCCGTGCGTACCCCAATTTGCACTGCTACTACCTGCCCAGCGCCGCTGACGAGGTTGCGCCACCGCGGCCGTCGCCGTGCTTGCCGTGCGTGCATGGCCGGACTCACTCGGTCCGTCCCCGGTCAAGCCATCACGTCTGGTAGGTTCTGGGTGAGTTGCTGATGCCCATCTTCTAGTCCTTTCATCTCGGTTGTGCCTGAGCTCATGGAAACATGGCCGCCGCCGCCGTAGGAGGCCTATCGCCATGGAGGTAGCTTGGGACCGCGTCTCTATTTCATCGCTTCACCACCCATCGCCTCGCGTTCTCATCTAGGTGAGCATCGGTTCGCTATCGGGGGCAGGGAGGGGCTAGGTTGGCCGACGTCACCGCCCAGTGCCGTCGCCGCCGCGCTGGTGCGCGCGGGGGTGCCCAAGGACCTAGCCGTGGTAAAGACAGTTTGTTCTGAGGGCTAGTATGCTTAAACGCTAACTGTAGGAATAGTGCTGTGGACTGCGGATTGATTCAGTAGTACCGCGGAGACATTTTCGCAAATGTGCCGAAGCGTGTGGGCCTTCCCGTCGTGGGCCGTCGTCGCGCGCACTACAAGGTTTTACCCCTGATGCAACGGCCTAAAAGCGTTGCAATATACCAAAAATGGTTGCGATAGACAAAATTGCAACACTTTTTTTTCGTTGGCAGATGTTGCCATAGTAATCGTGACAAAAGGTTTGCCCAACGACTCTCTTTGGTGTTGCAATAGGTTTTCCCCTATTGCAACACCAGAAATACCTATTGCCACGAACCCAAAGTGTGGCAATAGGTGCACTAACAACGATATTTGGTGTTGCAATAGACTTTATTGCCACGCATCAATAGCATTGCAATAGATGGACCCTCTATTGCCACGCTATCTCAGTGGTTACTATAGGTGGAACCGTCTATTGCCACGATAAATATTTAGTTGCTAGAGGTAGTCTCTATATTGCAACACTAAACATTGTGGTTGCTATAGGTGCATCCGTCTACTGCCACGGTAATGTTTGGTTGCTAAAGGTTTGTCTCTCTATTGCAACGATCAATACTGGTTGCTATTGTTGGACCCTCTATTGCCACGCTAACTATTGTGTTGCTATAGTTTGGAGACTCTATTGCAACGCCCACTATTCCGTTGGTATGATGTTTTTTGCAACACCGTTTGTTTGTTGCTATATCATATATTGCAACACCAAATTATTTTGTCGATAGTCCATATTACAACGCTTTATTTGCTTCAAACAATAATTGCATGTCGAACAATATATGATGAAAGAAGAATTTAGACATCATTAATACAAAATATGCTTTGTTCGTACAACTTCGTACAACTCATTAATGAAACCACATCCAATGCCAAACTTAGTTAATAACACATGCACAACTAAAACACATAAGGTATCTGACGCACAGTAGCTACTTTGAACAGCTCAAAATGTAATAAGCTATGTGTAGCACTGTAGCAAAGGTTGGCTTGACATTGACCGTCCATTAGTTGTGTGCTCCACTCAAACTCTATCTTGCTCCTGAAACAATCTTTACATGGGTATATTCAGCAAACAGAAACTTAGTATTCAGCTAAGTATCATTTCACTTTACAGTAACAGGAAGTAGCCGTCTAAATCTGATTCAGAAATATTCACAGGTAGTGGAGTAAAAAATCACCTGTGCTTTGCCAACTTGTTGATTCCTTTTGGATAATGCTCGTTTCTTAGCCGCAGCATCCCTTAGTGCTTTAGTAGTAGTAAAACTAACTGTCGTATTCCCTCCTTTGTTTTGGCCAGTTTGAGTCTTATTCGCAGCACTATTTCTAGTTGTGCGACCATTACTTGTACCTGCCGCTGTTGTAGCTACGAGTTGTGTTTGTGGTGGGATGCTATCTTGGTTTTCCTGCAAATCAATAGTTGGAGGGAAAATTATGCCTCATACTAAGGACTATCACATGACAAAATTAAACACAATTCAATTATCAAACTACCTGCTGATGTGATATTTCTTCACTTTCTGTATTTACATTTTCTTCATCCATGTTTGTTGTAGCAGCAACCTCTGCATTTTGTCCCCCATCTTTGTTAGTCTACATTTCAATTTTGGTCAGAAAAATCATGAGTGGAGTTTGCAGTGGCTTGCCCTTAGTATGAGGCATTTGACAAATATGAGGACTAGATGAGAGCTGCACCTTAATGTCGACCTGCTTGCTTGCCTACCAGCAGCAAGGATGCAAACGAACTGAACTGAAAACATTGAACACAACCAGAAACTTACAAAATGAGAATAACATCCTATTATGACCGGCTTCCAATATGCCAGGAGGAGGCCCATTAGTGGGTAGATGAGGCGCAGGAGCTAGGGGCTAAAAGCCCATATTTATCTTTAATTGTTTATTTCCATAATTAGTACACCAATTAGCCATATATAGGAGTTGTAATTCCCATGGACAGAATTAAGCAAAGAGTAATCATATTACTCGGCTTCCCTCAGGGAGCCGGGAGTTTCCAGAACCCTAGCCGCCATCTCTCTCTCTCTCGTCGTGCGATCACGGCGCCTCGCCACCGTACGACGTTCAAGCCCCGACCACCGATCTCTCACAGCTACAACCTCCGATCGACAAGGCACAGAGAGCAGCTGCCTATCAACCTGGTATCGGAGATCTCTGGTTCGATGTCGCTCCCTCTGCCCACCTCTTCCACGCCGCCGATTGTGGCCTCCACCTCCGTTCCGCTGTCGTCCACCTCCGTGCCGCTGTTGTCCCCTACCACCAACGCCATGATTCCATCGTCCCCGATGCCGTTAGGCTCCGCAGGGGCGCCCGCTGCCAACGGCGGGCCGGCCATCCTCACGCCCGAGGAAGTCACGCAGGCCATCCTCGATCTGGGTCGCGCGGTGGGCGAGATTCGCGCCTTCCTGGGCGGATCAAATCACGTGCAGCCGTCTCCCCAACCGCAACTCCCACCACGGCCGCCGCAGCAACAACTGCCGCCGCCACCGCCGTTCCCCGCGATCGCTACATCAAGGATGGCGCCCCAGTACGGCATGCCGCCCAAAGTGCACGGATCATCACCACGGTCGTCCGTGCCGAACCCCTCGGGTGGGGTGCCGATCCAACAAATTCAGTTCCCGCACTCCCCGTCCCCGCTGCCGCCCTGGCTGTTCGCGGAACCGCCGGCCTATTCATCCTCCACGACGCAGCCATGGCTTCCACCACCACCATCCTCCGCTGGTGTCGGGTCCTCCTACGGGGGTGCTCCAGCCCTGGGGGTCCTCTGGTGGCACCGATGGGACGTTGTTCCACGGCAGCAGCATGCCCTCGTCCCACCCTTCAGCGGCGCTAGTTCCGGACGCGTACGGAGGGGGGCCTGCCTACGGGGGCGTCCCAAACGATGGTGGCATCGCATCCAACCATGGCGGCCAGCCGCCATTGGGCGCCTCCAACTATGGCAGCCATGGTAGCCAGCCGCCGTTCGGCTATGATCCGCAGGCCAAGTTCTACAAGCTCGAGTTCCCAACATACGACGGCACCGTTGATCCGCTAAATTGGTTGAACCAGTGCGACCAGTTCTTTCGCGGCCAGCGCACGCCGACGACCAACCGTACCTGGCTGGCGTCCTACCATCTCCGCGAGGGCGCCCAGACCTGGTACAACGCCTTGGAGCAGGACGAAGGCATGCCGACGTGGGAGCGTTTCCACGACTTATGTCGCCTTCGCTTTGGGCCGCCGCTACAAAGGCCGATCGGTCGAGCTTCGGCGGCTACCTTCCGCCACGACCGTCAGAGTTCGCCGACCGCTTAAGCGCTACTTTATCACACGCATCGGACGTCTCTACACGCCAGCGTGCTGAGCTCTTTGTCGGCGGCTTACCGGAGCACATCAGGGTGGATGTCGAGATCCACCGCCCACAGGACCTGCAGACGGCGATGTACAACGCCCGCGCATTTGAGCGGCGAGCGACTACGACTCCTCCGGCGCTTCCTGCACGCGCCACCCGACCGGTCCAGCGGGCGGGCTTTCCAACGGCGCGCGCACCAGGGGCCGGGCCGGCTGCGCTTCCTCCAGCAGCGGGAGCGGGCGCCCCGAGCGGCCGCGCATTCCGGCGACTCACGCCAGTCGAGCAGCAAGAACGGCGCCGCCAAGGGCTCTGGTACAATTGCGATGAGCTCTACGCCCCGGGCCACGTGTGCCCACGCCTGCTCTACCTGGCAGCCGACGACATCATCGAGGAAGCCGCGCCGCCACAAGAGGATGTGGTCGCGCTGGCTCTACAGGAGGAAGATGTCGCTCCCGAGGCCGATGTTGATAATGTCTTTGCGGTCTCCTCCATCTTTTTTGTAGGCATTCGGGACGTCCAACACCATGTCTGCCGCCGGTGATGATCAAGGGGGCGCCCTCGGGCGTTGCTCGACACACGGCTCCACCCACAATTTTCTCGATTGGGGCGACGATGCGGCGCGCTTGGGTTCGCTTCCGGATGGTGGGAACACCTCCGTGTCACGATGGCCAATGGGGACAAACTTACTGCTGCTTGGGCTCGCCGGAACGTCCCCATCACCATCGAAGGGGAGACCTTCACCATCACGTCGTGCGGCAAGATCGACTTGGGCCGCCGACTTCATCCTCGGCTACAATTACTGCGCACGCTCGGCCCCATCACTTGGGATTTGAGGCCAAGACCATGGCGTTCGGGCGAGGCGACGCCGGATCGATGGCGGCGTGGCGGCCCCGACCACCCGAGCCTTCCGGTGCGGCGGCGCCGCCGCCGCCGCCCGTCGGCGACCCTCTTTGGATCACCTTCGAAAGCAAAGACGTGCCATCTTCGATGAGCCGCGCGGTCTCCCTCCGACGAGGCCGTACGACCACCGCATCCACCTGCTGCCCGACACGGCCCCGGTTGCCGTTCGACCGTACCGCTACCCCCAGCTACAGAAGGACGAGCTGGAACGCTAGTGCGAGGCCATGCTCACCCAGGGCATCATCCGGCCAAGCACCTCGCCCTTCTCCGCACCGGTGTTGTTGGTCCGCAAGGCGGACGCGTCTTGGCGTTTCTGCATCGACTACCGCGCCCTCAACGCCAAGACGTCCAAGGACAAGTTCCCGATCCCGGTGGTGGACGAGCTCCTCGACGAGCTCCATGGGGCTCGCTTCTTCACTAAGCTCGACTTGCGGTCGGGCTACCACCAGGTGCAAATGCACCCCGACGACATCGCCAAGACTGCCTTCCGCACGCACCATGGCCACTACGAGTTCCTGGTCATGCCGTTCGGGCTCTCCAACGCAGCAAACGCGTTCAGTGCCGATGAACGACGATGCTTCGCCGCCCCTACCGCGGAGATTTGTCTTTGGTTTTCTTCGACGGCATTCTCATCTACTCGTCGTCGGGCGAACATCTGCAAAGACATCGCCATCGTCCTCAACGAGCTTCGGGCGCACCACCTCCACCTCAAGCGCTCGAAGTGCTCGTTCGGGGCCACGTCAGTGGCCTACCTAGGTCACGTCATCTCCGCTGATGGAGTCGCTATGGACGCCGACAAGGTGGCCGCAGTCGCGGCATGGCCACCTCCACGCTCGGCCCGAGGACTTCGTGGCTTCCTGGGCTTGGCGGGCTACTACCGGAAGTTCATCCGGGAGTTTGGGCTCATCGCGGCTCCCCTGACGCGTCTCTTGCGGCGAGACGCGTTCGACTGGGACAAGGAGGCTGCGGAGGCCTTCCAGGCGCTCAAGCGCGCCCTCACCACCGGGCCCGTGCTCCAGATGCCCGACTTCGACAAGTTGTTCATGGTGGACTGCGACGCTTCGGGTGTGGGGTTCGACGCTGTCCTTCACCAGGGTGCCGGACCTCTCGCCTTCTTCAGCCGCCCGTTCGCGGCTCGACATCTCAAGCTTGTAGCTTACAAGCGTGAGCTCATCGGTTTGGTGCAGGCCGTGCGCCACTGGCGGCCATACCTTTGGGGACGGCACTTTCTTATTCGCACTGACCATTACAGTTTAAAGTTTCTCTTGGATCAGCGCTTGTCCACCGTGCCTCGGCATCAGTGGATCAGCAAACTCTTCGGCTTCGACTTCACGGTGGAGTACCGTCCTGGCCGCCTCAACACCGTGGCGGACGTCGGCAAGACGGAGGGGGCGTGGCGGACTTCTCGGTGGAGTACCCTCTTCGCTTCTTCCTCAACACCATGGCGGCGCCGACGCCGGACGGGAGGGGCGGCGTGTGCTCTCGGGCCCCTCTTTCGCTTCCTCGATGACGTGCGCGCCATCGGTGGAGGCCGAGGACGCACGCTCCAAAGATCCGCCGCTGGGCGCCGGGCGCCTGGCGCTGGATGGTGGGTTCTTCGCTTCATGGCGGCAGGATCTTAAATCCCGACCACGGCGACCGCGCCCCGCCCGCCGCGGCGCTCACTCGGCCGCCATGAGGGTGTCAAAAAACGCTCCACCGCTGCGCACCGACTTCTACATCCCGGCGATCGTCGCGGCCGGTTCAGATCGCGCGCCGCTTGTGCAAGACTACTGTCGGAATAACAAGACGGAGAGCGTTGCGGCCCACCGACTTCTGGCGCAACGCTGGAGGTGCCCTCCCAACTGTGGGCGGACATTTCCATGGACTTCATCGAGGGGCGCCAAGGTGGGCAACAAATCCGTCATTCTTACGTTGGTCGACCGCTTTCCAAATCGCGCGCACTTCATCGCGCCGCCACCCTTACACCACCGCCGTCGTCGTCGCCGCCGCGCCTTCTTCGACGGCGGCATCGTCCGGTTGCACAGGTTCCCTCCTCCATCGTCAGCGACAGGGACCCGGTGTTCACCGGGAATGTTTGGCGCGACCTCTTCCGATGCGCCGGTATCAAGCTGCGCTTGAGCACGGCTTTCCACCCCAAGACCGATGGCCAGTCCGAGGTGGTTAACAAGGTGATCGCCATGTATCTTCGATGTATCACAGGTGATCGTCGCGCGCGCATGGGTGGATTGCTGTCTTGGGCGAAATCTTGCTACAACACGCCGTTCCACACGGCCCTGCGCGCCACGCCATTCGAGGTGGTCTCACGGTCGCCTCGCCGCCCATCCTGCCAGTATCGGTCGGGCCGGCCCGTTCGAGGCCGCCGACGCTTCTCCGAGACCGGGACATGATCTTGGCGAGAGCGCGGCGCCTTCTCGGCGCGCAGAGGCATCTAAGAGGTACTACAACGTCGGGCACGCGACGTGGAGTTTTCTTGATCGGGGATTGGGTTTATCTGCGCTACCTGCTCCACCGGACGGCTCGATCCCTTGACCCTCGGCGAAGCGCGCAAGCTCGGTGAAGTTTTTGCCGCCCGTTCCGTGTTCTCGAACGCGCCGGTTCCGTCGCCTACCGCCTGCGGCTTCCGGGGGCGACGGCTTCACGACGTCTTCACGGGGTAAATTTGCTCAAGCCCCACCATGGCGATTCTTCTGCGCAGCGGCGGTGGCGCCCTCGGTCCTCGACGGCGGCATCTTCTGCTCCAGCCGCGTCCTTGAGCTCGGCGGCGTCGTGGTGAGTGGCGCTTCTTTGGTCAAGTGGCAAGGCCTTTCCGACGACGACGCCACTTGGGAGTCTCTTCCGAGTTCCACGACTAGTTTCCGACTTCGGCTCGAGGACCAGCTGTTGTTTGTGCAAAGGGAGAGATGTTATGACCGGCTTCCAATATGCTGCGGGAGGAGGCCCATTAGTGGGTAGATGAGTAGCTAGGAGCTAGGGGCTAAAAGCCCATATTTATCTTTAATTGTTTATTTCCATAATTAGTACACCAATTAGCCATATATAGGAGTTGTAATTCCCATGGACAGAATTAAGCAAAGAGTAATCATATTACTCGGCTTCCCTCAGGGAGGCGGGAGTTTCCAGAACCCTAGCCGCCA